TTCGCGCGTACGTACCAGGAACCGATGAGATGCTTTTTCAAGGAGGTGTCTCGTGAGAGTAATTGTCTATCCTTGTCTTACACATTACAGGTATAGGGAAAAGCATAATATGCCGTTGCCTTTGCATTAGCTGTTTTATAGATTTCCGTGGGGCAATTTCGACGTTCGACGGCTCAAGGTATTTTATGTTACATTAATCATCTGCCAACTGCTCTTTACGGATATAATGATTATGTTACGGGTCTGTGCAAATAAATACAAATAGATGAAAAAAGCCTGTTCTTTTTTATTCTCTTTTCTCAATATTACATATTGGTATATGCACAAAATTTCTTATAGACATCGATCAGAATATAAAATAGAATTCGCTTTACTTTTACAACTACAGAGCGTTGATAATTATTTTCTAGTTATTATTTTCTACCAGCGTGAAGACACCTCTGTCATAAACGATACTTCAAAGGTAGTGTTATTCCATCTTACGCTAGTTCGTATCATACTCTTACCTACATGGTTCCTGTTCTAGTTTGTCAGTCTAGTTCCCGCGTGGCGTCGCTCGTGTAGTATCCGAAGAGTGTCGGAACCATCATGGCACAGCCACATTATTGTTTTGACAGTTAGAAAGAAACGAATGGTAAGAAAGCTATTTACTTTTCAAATATTTCATTTACGATTATTACAGATCACAAGGAAATATCGCGATGGATACGTTAAAAATCTAACTCGACACTGTTACCCGATCGATACTCGTCGCGGTACGGAAAAATGGCTTTAGGCAAAAGTACAAGAGAGATCCTGTTGTCTCTTATAGACGACATCGAACTCGTAGCAAAGTAAGTTATTTCAGTTGTTTGTGCCTTCTAATCAACTATTGCTCGCCTTTCACTTCACTTTACTTCTATTTACTGCTTTCTCTTAGAGAAATAATTGAAAACACTATCGCTCAGAAACCTCTGAAACTATCCAGCGAAGAACACGCTAGGTTAACCGAATTGTTAATCGCCAAAGACAACGAATTGAAAAGTACTTTGAATCGAGCAGCTGAACAAGCGAAAATTAACTTGAAAATGGAAGCCCTGAGAGCAGAGGTCGAGAGACAAGATCAAGACATTCGTCAATTACAACGTCAGTTGAAGGAAGCTGAACAGATTCTAGCAACTGCCATTTACCAAGCCAAACAAAAATTACAATCGATCGCTCGTGCCAACAAGAGACCTGTACCTTCGGAGGAGCTCATCAAGTACGCTCACAGAATAAGCGCGTCCAATGCTATTTGCGCGCCACTCACGTGGCAACAAGGAGATCCTAGAAGACCGTATCCGACAGGTAACATTTGTATATACAATATATATGTGTATATATACTAATCGCGTTGCAATGTATTTCTTAGGAGAAAGCATACATTGAAATAAACAACTATTTCGTTATTTTCGAGTAGTTTCGTTTAGCCTTTCGCACGATGCAGATCTTGACTGTGCTGTGGAATGTGTTACAGATATCGAGATGAGATTAGGGTATCTTGGACGACTGAGCGACCTTCCGTTAAATGGTCAAATGCTGGGTTCCCATCCTGGAATATCGTCCGATTTGCACAGACCAGGACATCCTGTAGGAGGTAATCGTCCAACGAAACGGTACTATTTCTCTCGTCGTTGAGAGTTCGAAACAACCAACCAGCTATATTTTAACATTTCAGAGCCACCGGTGTCGCAAGCTAATCAATTCGCATGGCATCCATCCGGTGAAATTCACCTGTCGGTAAGCGGACAGGGTAGCGTTGCTATGAATACTCATAAACAGGAAACCGAGGATGTCGAAGTTATGTCTACGGATTCCTCGAGCAGTTCGTCCAGTGATTCGCAATGAGTGAAAACCAACGCGACTCATAAACTTGAACGCTAGAAACAAATATATTTTCGTGTAATTTCTGTACTTGTACGTTTTCTTTATTTCGTTGTTGCGCGTACTTTTCTTGCAACTCTACGCAGATTCGAGAAGAATTTCAGGTAGAAAATCGTGCAAAGTCTCCTGAGCGTAGTACATTTCCGAGTTTCCCTGAAATACCACCACGAATGATCTCGATGATTCTTGATTCTCGATTCGGTATAAGAAATTCCTGACGGAACAGTTTCTTACCAATTTTGCGTCTTCTTTGAACGTAGCTTTTCGAAAGAGTATATTCTGTTGGTTAAATTCCGCTCCGTATAATATACAATCTGCTCGAACTTTCTCTATATCTCTGTACAATAAAAGTTTTTGTAACAAAATTCCCGGATACGTGACAACTTTACTGTTATAGCCCGAACTCATGATTTTGAACGTTGTCCTGCAAACAACATTTCGTTAAATTAGTTGAAAGCCTTGTTTCGTCTTCAGCTTTCCGAACGATACTAATTACTTGAATTGCTTAACACTATAACGATTACGACGAGTCTCGACGGTAGCAAGTTGTTGGCTCCTTCGGATCGGACTTTAGTTAATTTTTCGACTGTTGACAAGTCGCGACACAGCAATTCCAAGATACACGGTAAAAAGATGAACGACTCTGTCCGGTATTTAATTGATACGCGCTGTAAGAGGGATACGATAAAATATAACACACCTCCTGATGTTCGGTATATTGATCATAGCCGCGCATACGAGCATCGGAGAGAGTCGTTGAATTAAGCTGCAAACGCGTACATAATTTTTCAAATACCAGGCTAGTGATATTTCCGTGGATAATCGAACGCTCGGGGACCGCCTGTAAGGAAACGAATAAAGAGGGAGAGAGTTACGTTGGAGGAATAAACGAATGTCGGTTGCAGCGATGATGTCGCTGTTGTGTACCTTAAATGTAGCGGCAGGGTCAACGACCTGGTTAAAGCTTCCGTGTTACCCATATTTAAAAGGATATAGAGTGCTTCTACTTGTTCGCGATGATTGGTCAGTTTCAGGTTGTCCGTACTCGTCTCGAGTTCCGATCCACGAATCTCCCGGTCCCACTCGTCGTACAAAACTAACAGATGCGACATGCACTCGGAGAGGTGTCTATTGTTGATCGTTGCATCGAATTCGGAAGCGTTTCGATCGCACAATCTGCAATTATTCCCGGGAACGAACCGCATAACCAGTTGCGACGTTAAGGTCGAGGAAAAAGTTGAATGAGTGTGGCTGATCGATCGATTGCGCGTACCTTTGCGCGGAATAAACGAAAAATCGGACGATGGGTTCGAAGATTGAAATACTCGCGGGAACTCGGATCCTTTGAATCGCAACGTCCTGCCTGACAGCTCTCAAACGATCGAACAGAAAGTCGTATACTACTATCCAGTCGACGTCGGTTCGCGTAGCGACTCTAGAGAGAAAGAAAAAAAGGACAAGCGGCATATTCTATGAAAGTTGCAGTTGTAAACCGATGAAAGGAATACGGAAGAATCTTGCGGTTTTCAGCGTACTTGGTAAACATGTATCTAATAGTCGATAATAATACAGCCTCGGGACGTAACTGACTAGGATCCGTCATAATTATCCCGGCTGCCGGACGACCGAAACATTTCACAGTTTTCATGGGATCAGCTTTCAATTGCCCGTGCAGATTTTTCCTCTCTTCGTCGATTTCGAATTTATGCAGCAGACCTTCCTTCTCTCTCCTTTGCGCATGAGAAAACACGAGAGAATACGGATAATAATTCGATTTTGCATCGTTTGTAATTGAAATTTCAAATGAAAACCGTACCGCGTTATGGTACACGGCACTGTGACTTACATCCGACGTTCTTTTTCCGGGCACATCGATAAACATGTTCCTTGTATGAACTCGGTCATTTTCGTTTGCTCATACGGAGAATGCGCCGTGCACAATTGTAATGTTAATACATCTATAATACGATATATATACATACGTGCAACTTTGTAAATAGGTTACATCTATGAACGTTGACGCATATTGAAAGGAAAAGTAGGCGAGGTTAGAAGACCAAATAAACGGATAAACATCGGACTTGTTACGAACCAAATGAAATCTCCGCGAATCGGCCGTTTCAATTATTTTTCTTGTCTCGGAAGGAACCCCGCGAATCGACTGCCGCGTTCGGTTTTGGGTTACGTTTCGCGTTACGTTTCGCGGAACGATTACTTCTCCTAGTGTTCCATTCGAGGATTCGAGCAGCGAACGTGTTCAATGACCAGCAGCGACATCTGCTACAGTATGGCCAAACTACGCAGTCGATTATTTACTCGCATAATCGGTAACTGATGTTTCACGACACGAAATGAAAATTCAAAGTAACAATTCCATGGTAATTTGCTCGTTCTGTCATCTAGATATTCGATTAACTACTTGCAATGTCCGATGCTGGACAAACGAAACGGTGCTGCCCACCGGTACTGTGTATGGAACAAGTAAAGCCTGGTCCAACTGTAAGCCCTGATAGAATTTGCAACAACGATAAACCGATTCGGGTATTACACCGATACACCGATTCTTGACCTGAAACTTTAAACGATGCGCTATATACTCGCATAGTACATGGGTGTTTGATCCGGGTTCCATCTCTCTCCTACGAATTCGAATGTTTGTATGAATGTTTGTCGCGTTACACGGCGTACGAATCCGTGTCACCTTTTCCTGTTTGTAGTGTACGATGCCTGACAAGCATAAGAAGCGGACAATTGAACAAACAATTGAGTTATATCGGAATTTGATGAATATAAAGAAGAATAAAATGAAACTTGTGTGCTACTTTGAATGGCGAATATTCTATGCGATGCTGCGCAAAAACCAGCCTCGTCCCACCACACCACAGACACGAATATTCGGGAATGATGTGGATACATTTCTACGAAGGAGAAAATAACGCGCACAGATGCACGTGTAACTGCGCGTAGAAGGCACGGAGAAACCATTGAAAGCGATGATCGGGGGGAACGTTCTTGCGCGTCCTTGCGCATGGCTTGGCACTGACATACTGATGCGTAGTCATCTTCTCCGACACCGTTATTACACAAAGGTTAACGATCTTACGTAAACTTAAAGTTACGCTACTTTGGTCTCTTTATTTTTTCTGTCTGATTCTCATCTTTTTCCTCTTCTCGTTCTTCGCCTTCTTCTTATAGATACACAGTTTTTAATCATCCCTTTCCGGCCGTCTATTGTTATGCGAATATAGTTTTTTCGTCCTTCTTCCTTGTGATTCCAACGATGCAATTCGGCGGGTAACTGGTGCATTTTCAAGTATTCGTTGACGCGCCACTGTTTTCATTAGAAATGGTTTCGTTGTTCGTGTTCGTTGTTGGATATCGATGTCGATATACGCTACAAGTAATTATTTTTACGAATATACATCCACCGTGTCTTCTACGTGTTTCCCTTTCCACCTGTTTCTCGAACAGTATAATTGCGTAAGCCCGTTGAATATACGTACGAGACGCCACGTGTTGCGGTTACGGTTAGAGAATATCACTCTCGTTATTTTCATATTCTCTCTCTTACGGCAAATACATGTATAGTCGATGCATCGACCTTGCATCGCCTCGAAATTAGCTTTCGAAATGAACATCTCTTTTCCTGGTAAACGTTGGCCGAGAATCTCGTCGAAGCTGTGCATCACATTGTACGTCACTTGTAAGTCATGCCTCTTAGTTAGGATCACTTGAGATGGTGAATTATTAATTACGTATTGCGGAAATTGAGAAGTGAGTAACGATCGAGTCACGTGTACAGGCCGTATGGGAAAAACCGTGACGCGTTCCGTTTCTGCAGAAAAACTCTCCCTCTCCGAACCCTATGTTTATCGTTTTAAGGATATGTTACGATACCTTCTGCGTGGTTTTTCGGCGTCGATGTTACAAACATTTTATACAAGATAAAAGTACAGGAAAATTCGTGATCCGAAATGGTTTGAACGTGATCCCAATTGTACAGAATTATAAAGATCGTAAAGAGAGAAATGTCTGTCGCGGGAGGCGGAAAAGTTCGTGGTTTTCCGTAAAGTCGAATATTTTATTCCTCCGCAACTCGAGGTACCTTAAAACGTGACCCGAAGATTCGGAGAGGTAGCATGATTTTACATTTGCGCTTACCAGAAAGAAAAAGAGAAAAAGAGAAAAAGAGAAAAAGAGAAAAGAGAAAAAAGGAAAAGAAAGAGGAAAGGAGGAAAAAGGAAAACACGTATACACGGATGAGAGACGGGGAAATTCAAGGATTTGTTCTTTCGAAGAAAATGGAAGATTAATGGATTATTAATTTTCATTCGCAACGATTCAGTGGATGACGATAGCCATTTTTCGAGCGCTCCACGGCTGTAGGAATACCCGTGATGTTGCACGAGTGACGTTACACGTGTACAGTGACGTTATATGTATCGTTGTTTATACATACGTTAATCGGGTAAAGTAAGAGGACCGGTGGCGATTCGATTCGTCGTCGTCGTCGTGGGGCACGCGTGACCTCCAGAGAATTCCTGTATAGAGAAACGGATGGCGCTGCATTGATCCAGTCTTTCTTAAAACATCGTTGATTTTTCATAGTCGCGAGCGTTAGGACGAGCGGACGTGAGACGAGCGAATAACGTATATCCGACCGCGACAACGCGACCAAAGGATCGTACGTGTTTAGCCATTTTCCAAACGAGCTACACCGAGCACCGCGCACGTGTGTTGCCCAACGAGACGTTTCGACATCTGTCCTGAACCTGTGACACCCAATACCGACAAAAACAAGTATTTCTATTTGCTGTCGCAACAATGACGGACTGCTCTATCAGGGGGGAATAAATGTTACGCGTGAATCTTCGGAGAAAGAGAAAACGGGAAAGAGGGTGGCTTTCTGGCCGGGAGGGGGGATTTCCGGGCAAACGGTGGTAACGCGAAAGTTGACGAAATTGTTCAGTTCCGTAAGTCTGTCGAGGAATTTTTGCAATTTTTCCCATCAACGTTACACGCTATGTAACAGAATAGCTATTACTGTTTTCCTATTCGCGCCTCTCCCTGTAGTAGCGGGATTGAACAATTTCTCGCGCATCACGGTACACACCGAGTATTGTTTTACGAGTATTGTAAATAAGTGGAGCACTCGAGTCAAACATACATATCTATCGTGTGCATTTACATTTCAAGATGCTTCGAAACTCGTTCGGATCTTAAAGTCTCGTTTGCTAGACGTTCTTTTCGTGATATCCAGATTAGATAAGCGCATTTGTTTTCCACTTACTGGGGCACAGACATATACACGAGATACACGTATCGCGTGTACTCGATATTTGCAGGTGTATTCGTAATGTAATTTTCCAATGTAAATTATCATTAAAGATGTTCGCGCATATTAAAGTGATCGTAGCGTTTCTGATTAAAGAACCACGAGATTTGTCAAGTACACGTCATTTGCAGATCACCGCAAGATGTCAGATTGGAAGGTTGTACGTATTTTCATTGAAATTCTACTGTTGTCTCGAGCCTGTGGTACCTCCGGTGAGTGAACAATCAATGAAGACGCGTGGATAACCGCATTACAAATCCAATGTGTATCGCTGTTCGTTTTAGAAATGATGCCAACAGCCTCCGATGTTTCCGAATTTGTACGTATCGACCCGGAAACAGCCGATACGTTTGACTGGAGAAACCATCCTTGTCGCCGAAATTGTACGGACGGAGCTCCTCCGCTGGAATGCCGTTACATTTTCAAATTGGAGGCTTATCGAACAATGAGCAAGGCGTGTTACGATTGCCCGTTCAATATTACCGATTGCTTTCGAATGCATTGTGTTCCAGCCGATGGCACGGGAAGATCAATTTTGACAGTGAATCGGCAAATGCCGGGCCCGCGTATCGAGGTATGTATTCGCGTGTGTGTGGATGCGTAATACGTACACGCGCGAGCAACGTACGTAAGCGTAGCATCTGCTCAACCAACTACCCGCATATATCCCATTGAGAAGGTGTACACGCACACTTTCCTTCGAGCGACGAGAACGTTTTCATCGCGGAATTTCGCGAATGCGTAAACGCGTCGCCTATTTGCACGCACAGCTTCATTTCCATCGCCGTCCGATCTACCGTCGTTGTTGGTTTTCCAGTTTCTCGAGGATTGCGGTAATTTGCGATCACCGATGGGATTCCCGATCGAAGCGAGAACAGAATTTGCTTGGACTCTCGATGAATAGGTTTGTTACGGATACGATTTATCGAGTAAAATTGTTCAAACGCGCGTCGCGACTTTTACGGTTATTCGACGACCTTGGAAACTGCGTGTACCCTGCCGAGGCGTGGTTTCTTCGCGATCGGCCGTGGAAACGGTACTCGGAGAGTGGTGCCCTATTCGGATTCGAAGCATAAACAAACATGCAAATCGCTAATCGCTGTGCACTCCGACATTCTTCCACCGAAAGCTAAAACTTGTTTCAAGCCGCTTACTCGTCCGTAGGTATGCAGAGGCGACAGAGTAATAGTCGACGTAATCAATTTGTTGCACTCGGAGAGTACCGCGATGCACTGGCATGGGCAACATCACGTTGCAACACCCTACATGGACGGTGTACCGTACGTGTCCCAATGTCCGATTTCACCGGGATCGAGTTTCCGATACGACTACTTCGCTACCGAAGCAGGCACGCATTTCTGGCATTCGCATTTAGGTGCGGCTTCGAGCGATTTCATTTCTATCGGACTCGACGTTATTTCTTTTTCATCGAAAACTGGCTCTCCGCTTAGGTTTTCAGCGAGGCGACGGTGTATTCGGCTCACTGATAGTTCGTACGCCTCCAAAGATCAACTGGCATCGTGATTTGTACGACATCGACGAACACGTCATACTAATCCTGGATTGGACGCGCGAATTAGGAATAGACAAGTTTCTAGATCATCACTACGCGGGTGGAGACAACAAACCGCCAAACATATTGATCAACGGCTTGGGTCGTTTCACGACTGCTCCGACTGAAAACAACGTTTCCGCTGCAATGCCTGTCGCAACGTTTCTCGTTAAACAGGTAACGGGGAAATTCTATGAAAAATATCGCGGGACGACAGACCGAAAACACTTATCGTTCCTGTAACTAGCTACCCGTTACTTGCAGAATACAAGATACAGATTTCGACTGATCAATGCCGAGTTTCTTAATTGTCCGGTCGAGTTGTCCATCGACAATCACACCATGAACATAATCAGTTCGGATGGTCGCGATGTCGAACCGGTCCAAGGTACGTGAGTGTGTTCGTACGTACGAGCTTGTACACGCATTACTTGCCTACTTGCCTTGTTGTACACGTTTGTAGTGGGTAGGTAGTTGTGTTGCAAGAAGGCGAACGAATATTAAAGGTACGGGTCTTCACCTGTGTTTATTTAGCGAAAACTTTGGTAAGCTACGCTGGCGAAAGATTTGACTTTGTTCTCGAGGCGAATCAAAAAATCGACAATTATTGGATTCGAGTTCGAGGATTAATGGACTGCGACGAAAGATTCACGAAGGCTTTTCAAGTTGGCATACTGCGATACGATGGTGCGATCGAGCAAGATCCGAAAGGTCGAGTCACTTACGAGCGCGAATTGGACGATCTGTCGGATGAGAAGGTACGAGATTTCGATATTTCATACGAGCAATTTCTCAGAAGGATCTGTATTTATGTCGCGCGACCAGCTCTAATAAAATAACCGAGCTAACTCGTTCCAGCGAGTAAACGGTTTAAACGAGGGCACCGAAAGGAACAGTAGCCTCAGCGTGCCATTGCTGAGAGCAATGGACGAGAACGACGAGTCAAACACCCTCGAGCCTGATTACCAATTTTACGTGTCTTACGATTTCTATAAAAAGGACAATCCACATTTTCATCGTAGCAATTTGTACGGATTCGAGCAAGGTGCTTCTGCTGTAATGTACCGTAATTTACCTTGAATCGTGTCTCCGTAGGCACGTACATCTGACACGAGTCGTTTACATTTTTCCAGTTAATATAACTAAGCGGGTTCTAACTCCGCAACTGAATCACATCTCGATGAAATTACCATCCGTTCCGCTGTTGTCCCAGCGGGATATTGTAGATCAGAATCGATTCTGCAACGAGAGCACTGTACAAGGATGCGAACAGACTTATTGTGCTTGTACTCATGTCCTTCGAGTGAAACTCGGAAGCGTGGTGGAGGTAGTTCTGGTAGACGAAGGTTCGTATTTCACCGCTCGACCCCTGCGCTCAACCGCGAAACGTCTGTAGCGTAGATTCTATAGCCTTAACGGTCACTGGTTCCCAGGATTTGCTTACGACGCGAATCATCCGTTTCATCTTCATGGATACCAATTTCGCGTGGTCGCAATGGAAAGGGTCGGTAGAAACGTCACGGTCGAGACCGTCAGGGAATTGGATAGAAAAGGTTTGATACGCAGAAATCTTGATCGCGCTCCTTTAAAGGATACAGTGACAGTACCGGATGGTGGTTACACCGTTATACGATTTCATGCCAATAATCCAGGTACGTACATATACGACAGCACACTACCCTATTTTCTCCTGTACACTTCTGCATTTCACTTCTGTATACTCTGTGAAACAGGTAAATACGTAATATGTAAATACGTTCTTTCGTTCGATTCAGGTTATTGGTTGTTTCATTGCCACATCGAGTTTCACGCCGAAGTAGGAATGTCCTTGGTTTTCAAAGTTGGAGAAGACGAAGATATGCCACCTGTACCACGCAACTTCCCTCATTGCGGCAATTGGCGATCGAAGAATGATCCGCACGGGGAATTTGCTGATACCGTACTTGCTGTGAGCGCCGTAAAGGACCCATCGGAAGAAGTATCGAATACCGTAACGAGCGATAATGGTACACCGCAATTCGTGCATCTGTTGGCTCGAGTTCTAAAAACATTACGAATCTCTTCCTCGACGCAAAACCCGACAGTTTCATTCTTTCTACTTTCCTTCTGTCTTCTCGTTACTCTACCGTTTAGAGAACCCGGCCAATACTGCACATACCTGTAATTATACAGAAACTACGATACGTAGATTCTGCCATCCCGTTTCGCTCGACGATTGCGGTAACAAGAGGTGAAACGAACAGATACGTTTTTCTTTCGAACGAGAACGAGCTGACCTCACGATTTTACAGTATTATTGTTTCCCTTCGTTACTCACGTACATACAAACGTAACGCACACTCGATGCGGTTTTAATCGTTGAATTTGTAAACACGTAACGAACGTAACGAACGTATCAACCGTATCCGTAAGTTTTGCAGTGTAATTCTATCGTAATTTAGGTAAAGTGATTCTGTAATTTCTACACTGTGATACCGTCGTTTTTAGAGACATATTTATCGAGATTTGCGACCAGTGCACAAGTACGACGCTGTTTCGAGTAATGCCTGATAAAGTATTGCAATTGTGTAGTGTATAATTTTACACGTACGCAATTATAATAATGCCCAAGTTGTATATTTTTATATATGTACACTCGTAAATAAATACCTTTTTTATTTATATAGTCACACGTGTATGTCATGTTCATGGTATATTGCAAAAGAGTCATCGTCCAATGGATACAAAATTGATATTGAACATCTAATAATAATAATAACAATAATAACGACAACAACTGTTACTGCTACTACTACTACCACCACTACCACTAAAACATTAGCAACGATAATAATTACAACTATAACGATGAATGGCAACGATGATGGTGCTAATAATACTTTTATTGGTAACAATGATGGTGAGCGTTGTTTTGAAAATCGGAATTATTTTTGCATTTACATACCGTGACGGTCTTATTCTTTTAAATACAAGAAACGTACAATTTCTATCTGAATAATAATGGAAGCTACTAGGTATTGGTATATGTTTTTTGCAAATTCAAAGATGAATAAATTGTATAACATGCATCTTTCTGAGATGGTCGTTGTAATGGGTGTGCCAATAATTTTGCCATATTATCGTGCAATTTTGCCGCATTTTTTCCAACTTCTAATATATACGAATAATTTGCTGTATCCAGCATTGCCATTTCAGCATAAATTTCTTCACACAAATTTTTCGAATCTGGAGGTTCGTGTATGTACAACACGTCTATGAAGAAGCACCAATTTTCTGTAAGATTATCAAAGAATTTCTTACTAGTTAGGAATTTTGGAATATCGTTCGATCGAGAGTACATTAAAATTACTCTGGTCACGAATGTCGGAAGTAAGGTACTGGTATGCTTCTTTGGTGGCAAAGGCACTTTTGATTGTATCCTTTCGAATAGCTGTCCAAGATCGTAAGCGCTTAGATCTTCTTCGCATGTGTCTTCGTCGATAATGTCCAAATGGCCAACTATGCTTTTTATGTTACTAGTAAAATCACAAATCCAACGAGCACCTTGGGAATTTAAAGTCATTATCGCATATTCGTGACTCCGTTGAATGGTAGATTTGATGCAAACAAAATTTTCTACGACTCGTTTCATCATAAACAGAGGCATGTATTCTGCTCCTGTGGATAGTTTGAACGGAGTGCAATTCTTCTCCCTGACAGTGTCGATTACGAATAAAATCTTCTCTGGCAAATTTATTCCTGATAGATTTCGAAAGAACGCATTGTTTTCATCCGAATAAGCTGATCTGTCATCTGGATAAAAACATGAAACACTACCGATGTTATTCATTGTTGAATCACTGTCTCCTTTCAGATTTCCAGATGTCGATTCGATCGTGATCACTAATCTTAACCACTGCTTGACGGAGATGTCTGAAATTTCTTTAGTTTTCTTGAGGCGTCCTATAAAGCATTCGAAATCATCCTGTTGGGAAAAATCCAAAGAAACAAAGTAAGAGGCAACAAACTTTTACCACAATTCCTTGGTTATCTTTGAAATTCTAACCTTATTTGTCAACGAACATTAACTTGGATTGTTGAAACGAAGGATACTTGGACTACACGCGTAATTGGTTGGTTGAAATATAGATTTGAAACAAACGAAGGTACGCAAGTAATTGGTTTTCTGACTTCTCGTTGTTTCATCGAGTTCTAATCGGATGATAAAGGTATAGAAATACTTGGTGTAGGTACTCGTTTACGTATGTACACGCCAACCACCCGACGAATCATCTTTGGCGTAACTTGACGTTGTCGAAACAAGACTACTTAATTTTAAGATGAATTCTACAGTGTATAGTATTTACAATCATCGCAGACTCAAGTTATGTACCTACAGAGTACGCATACGATGTTATTTTTCTGTCGACTATTCTGAAATACCGACACCGTGAAAAATGCCTCGATATATTAACGGATCTAGCTGAATCGAAGATCTCTACCCGAACATTGTGAAACTGTATAAATTAATTATTCCATGAAATAGTTACGTATGGAAAGATTTGATATCCTTATATTTGGTAAATGCTATTCCCATCGAAATGAAGTGTACAAGTACCTAATTCGATTCCTACTGACAAGGCTAAAATCTTGTAGTTTGGTGACATCGAGCGCGACACCGACATGGTACAGGGATCTCGAAACGTGCAAGAAGCACGTTTCTCGAGAAACAACGTTTGTAGCGCGGTACGTGCATCTTGAGGCTGTGCAATCGTGGTGACGAAAAATAATTTCACCGTTAGAGGGCTGCTTGTGTGTTATAACCGTGAAATGTTATGTTTGTGTAAACAATATTACGTAGAAATGTTTCGTATTCTGTAATTGATTTCAGTGACTGGTTGCGTTCGAACAAGTATCGAGAAACATGCTTGCGTTGAAAGAGTACGGAAGCAGTGATGAATGCAGTGAACCCGAAACGGAAAGTGAAAATGCGAAAAGACAGGTTAACGACGTCAATGACGTTAAAGATGATTCCAGTGATGCGTCCTTACTCATGGATAAATTATCCACGTCGATCAATTTACAAATTTGCTCCGCACCGGAAGTAGTTCCTACGGTAATAATGAATTATTAACGAAATTTTCTGTAATGTGTACGATTATTAGCGAATAATTCGCAAACATTTTCGTCACAGTTTCGACATGATCATTAACGTTCGATTGAACCGAATGTATCGCAGGGAACCGAATTGTGTGTAAGGCACGTAGATTCAACGGTGACGGAAGTCACACACAATCCGAAGTACGAAGAACTGTTTGCACCAGACGTAGGACCTGAGAATCCTTTTAAAACGCAACAACAACGCGCTATAAAAAACATGCTCTCTGGATACGTAGAGAAAGCTCATATAAGCGAATTTCAGTTTGAAAATCAAAGGAGAACTTTTGCCAGTTATGGTATGTTTAAACGCACGCGTGTACGAATGTGAAACAAAGTATACTAGAATGAAATAGTTGTTTATTACAGGCTATGCGTTGGATCCAACTGTGGATGGTAGCGCGGAAGAAGGTAGGACGATAATCGGCGCGAAGGAAGCAGCAGAAGTATTGGGTTGCAAAACTGTGTTTGAAAGTACAACTTTAAGACCGTCGGATAAGAGAAAGCGTCATAGAAACGATAACCCTGCGGATATCGAAGGATTCTTAGGCCCATGGGGTGGATACGTGGACGAGAAACGAGTTATAAAACCGACGGAAGAAGAGGCTGCTGAATTAGAGGAGATATTAGCCAAGAGAAACAGAAGGGGTAAACCGATGGAGGAGAAACCCTTGGAAGAAAAGACTGTGTTGCACAGTATGTACATTTTTGGGATTCAGTCGTTTTTATAGTGAATTTGGATTTTTATTTGACAATAATTTGCAGTCAAGGATAGCGTGGATTATCAAGGAAGATCATTTTTACATGCTCCACAAGACGTTGGAGTGAACTTGAGATCCGAGTCACCTCCCGATAGATGTTTCCTTCCTAAAGCTCAAATTCATAATTGGGAAGGTCATACAAAGGGTATTTCTCAAATTAGATGGTTCCCTCGCACAGCGCATTTGTTACTCTCTTGCGGCATGGATTGCAGGGTGAAGGTATGCGCGTGTTGAGAAACGAATGTAACGTTAGGGATAAAATACTTACTAATTCCACATGTATGTTTTAACGAAAGTTATGGGAAGTGTACAAAGAAAGAAGATGTATCCGGACTTATTACGGTCATCGTCAGGCCGTTAGAGACATAAGTTTCGATAATGATGGGAAGAGATTTTTATCAGCGGGATACGATCGTTATGTGAAACTATGGGATACAGAGACTGGCACCTGCATTAGTCGATTTACAAATAGAAAGATACCGTACTGCGTGAAATTTAATCCTGATTCGGACAAACAACATTTGTTTGTGGCAGGCACCAGCGACAAGAAGATTATTTGCGTAAGTTTTATACTTGGAGAAAACCTATGGTAATTCTATGGTAAATAATATCTACTTGTACGTTACACAGTGGGACGTTCGTTCCGGTGAAATAACACAAGAGTACGATAGACATTTGGGAGCAGTGAACACTATAACGTTCGTAGACGAAAATCGTCGTTTTGTCACTACTTCTGACGACAAAAGTTTGAGAGTTTGGGAATGGTACGGTGTTGTCTATTTTCATTTATCTCGTTGATAACCTCGTTTATACAAGTGTTACGCCTTCTGTACAGGGATATACCGGTCGACATGAAGTATATAGCAGATCCTTCGATGCATTCTATGCCAGCGGTCACACCATCGCCGAATCAAAAGTGGCTCGCGTGTCAAAGTATGGACAACAAAATAGTTATATTTTCTGCACTGAATAGATTTAAAATGAATCGTAAGAAGACATTCACGGGTCACATGGTTGCTGGTTACGCGTGCGGTTTAGACTTTTCTCCTGACATGAGGTGAGCGAAATTGACGATATACTATGCGTATGCGAGTGAAATGATATCGCAACGTGATGAATGTATAAGGTGATATTACACTAGTATTACACTTTGTTTGTTTCGTGTAGTTATCTTGTTTCGGGAGATGCGGACGGTAAGTGTTACATTTGGGACTGGAAAACGACCAAGCTGTACAAAAAATGGAAAGCACACGACGGTGTATGTATCGACGTATTGTGGCATCCACACGAACCGTCGAGACTGGCAACGGCTGGTTGGGATGGAAAAATAAAATATTGGGACTAAGAATATGTTTGTGTATTTTTTAAAAAATTATATACTTGTATTTTCTATAACTGTCAGTCTGGATAAATAGATTAATTTAATGTACATACTATACGCGTTTCTATTGCACACACGCAGACGCACACGCAGAGGCGCACACGCGCATAATAGAAAGATGTGTTTCATCGATCTAGTAGTAGTCGTCGGTCGGTAAAAGCTTGTGAGTTTTTTTTGTGACAATGGAATTATCGGATGTTGATGGAAGAGAAGAAGATGCGTGAGACGTTGAATGCAAAGTTTTGATCGTTACGTTAGAGAAGAGATTCGTTGGAAAGAAAATAGCGAGTAGCAACCCTGTTTTCGTCTCTATCGTCACATGGCGGTCTGCGCTAGAAAAATCAATACTACCACATCATGATGTCGGACGGTCTGTCATTTCGTAACACATCGTCGCGGAGTTGATATTTTTTCGTTCGCTGGCGAATGGATGTACTTGCGACATTGGTATTGTCTTTTCAAATGTTTCAAGCACTCGGCATGAGAAAGTGAACGCGTAAAAGTTATCCGAGACACCGTTGGTGAATGGTAAAGTAACGTTTTTCTCCTTTGGTAAAATGCGCACGTATTTCTCAATTTGTCGAGTTGACGCTACCGACACGAATTCATAAATACGCGTTCAAGTAACGCGAAAATGATGGTTCTTAACGTAAAACCTATAATATTATCTAGATAAAATGTATTAGGGTTAATGTAAAAATGGACAGTCCTGGGTTAGGATACTCGTATCATCTTCCGTCCGCAGGCTGGAATCTCCGAGTTAGAAACGTTCTTTCCCAGTTCAGTGATCTTTTCAGCGAGTTTAACAAGTATATCGCCCCTGCTTATCACCATGATCGGTGCGAAAGGTATTTCAGAGAAACAAGACGCAATTGCAATTACAATTACAATTCGATGATACTAATTTCGTTTGACAGATCGGTGCAAATGCGGCTATATTCTATGCACAAGAGAGAGTTTGTTATGGTATTCGTTGCCTTCTTTGCCTGTTTTATACTGGAAGTGTTTATCGGGCTTGCAGGTAAATCCGTTTTGACGCGACGGAACAGGCTGTCGACGAGAATTTGAATAAAACTAATCAGCTACTTGATTTCCGCAGGACCTCCGATTACTTCGACGAGCGAACAGAAGGCTCATTCGAACGGCAGCGAAGTGGCTACCGGCCCGTTTGTCATGAAAACACCCTCGGTGTCCACTTACAGTCAACAATTATGGGTGATCGCGAAACTACTCACGTCCAATAACGACGGTATTGTGGATGAAAAGGAGCGAAAATGTTTGCAAGTTGAATTCTAAGATGCTAATCGTTGCGACCGTTTCCATTCTTCCAGACGAACGATACGACAAAAGTTTCCAAATCAGTGTCTCGATAGACGGCTTTACCGAGGATCGTAAACTTGTACCCGTTTTATCTTCGGAAACCGGACACAATAGGTACCGATCATAGAAACGGAATTCTATTTCTATTTTCGACGAAAGTATCTTTGTTTTCGAGAAACGACGACTAAACTAATCGTTTTACAGAACCAGACGTTTGAAATGCGAAAGGCAAACTTGCGAGGAACTAGTGGTTGCTCATCTTGGATTCCTCGATTACAGTTACTATATAATTACCGTTCGTTTCCACGGACTTGAGAATTTCCACCAACGTTATAACATACGCGAGCTCACATTCTACGTCAGTAAGCACTGCACGATGTAAACAAATTGCATTCTCGTAGATAGGAACATCGTGATAATTGTACCACTGAATTTCTCACATTTCTGTTTGTTCGCAGTTCAAGAATTACAACCCAGCTTTTACAGAATTTGAAATATGGTTTCGTCTAATGTTTCTGTTGACCGCATTCGGAATTATGGTAAAGGGCGCTTTACGCAAAGATGCTGTTTCATGCGAATCGAATTGCTTGCATACCGTAAAAGTTCCGTTGATTTTTAGTGTTGGTTCGGGCATTCTCTCCGAAAGTACCCGTTGCACGACTGGTCGATAGAACAGAAATGGATCTCTATACTCCTTCCGCTGCTAATTTTATACAACAGTAAGATTCCGCGTCGCGTCGAGTATCGATCTTTACGTATCTTTACGTCTTCTCTGCTCTTCACTCCTCTTTTCGCAGATCCTATGTTCCCTATGATATTCTTGGTGAATTCTTGGGTGCCCGGCATGGTGGATGCAATTTTACAAACAACATTCCTTTGCGCGGTTCTCATGTTCTGGTTATGCGTCTACCATGGCCTTAGGCAGGTACGAGGAACCTTTCTACGATTAGAATCAGTAATCAATAATCGACACGAATTGTACGTTTCAACAGAACGAGAGACGTCTGGTCACGTTTTATTTGCCGAAAGTGTTGGTGGTCGGTTTACTGTGGTGTTCGGCCTTGATTCTGGCAACGTGGCTCCGTTGCACGGAACTGGAAGACCCGACCTATAATTATGTTCTGGATACATCCAATTATTTCGTATGTTCTCTGTGTTCTTCTGTGCCTCTATGTCCATGCGCCGTTATACTTTCAGCAGACGATAACGCAACCCATACTTGTTGTTTCAGGGCTTCAAGGTGTTCTTCTTCACAGTAGGAGGCTTTTACGTCGCATACTTGTTACTCTTGATATTAAGAGCGTACAGCGAATTACGCTCTATGCCTTACTTCGGTATGATCGAACAATTCAGTAGCCTATACGATATTTCGTGAGAACGATGCATCGACTCGACGATTCGCGTTATTCCACAGATCTTCGCTTGCGTTTCTTGACATTGCTCGCCGGTGTGGTTTCCTCGCTTTGCGGATGCGTGACAGCGCAACAGTTTGGCGCTGGTATCTTCGAAGACAGTTTCGCCTCCCGCCTCACTACTTATTATAGATCCTCCGCTCAGTTTATGGCCCTGTACGGTCTTCTGAATTTTTACTTGTACACAATGGCTTACGTGTACGCTCCCGCTTACCAGCAAGTGTACGGTCAACGTGAGTGGTCACTTGGTTTTCTTCTCTGATCGATACTTGAAATTTAAGCGTACGTTGCGTGTCTCGCAGAGAATTATTACAAGCCTCTTATTGCTTTCAGATTCCTCTATAACGAAAGATAACCCAGCATTCTCTATGATCAATGATTCCGATGAGGATGTTATTTATGGTTCGGACGAAGAGGTCGCGTACGGGTCGGACGAGGATAGTCGACGACCTTTGAATCGACCGTCCCGAACATCAACGAATAATAATAATTAAAAATGAACCGAGTCGAGAATTTCACGGGGCAAACCGTAGATGAACACTTTGTTTTATAAAAATCAGATACACGATCGAAAAGTTCATTCATGGGTAAATTGTACAAAATTTTCTTCGCTGTTTCGTTGGTGTGTGCGTATGTGTGTGTGTGTGTATCTACGTACAGATACATAAATACATGTGTATTTACTTACAAATACGAAATGGAGATTTCGTACGTAACACGTACTTACTTACATAGGTATTTATCTACTTGCATACTCGCATAAAAAAAGATGTTTCTATTCGATTCGTGAAAACAAAACTGTAAGAACACTCGTATTTTAACTTGTTCATTTTGTTCAAAGTGCGCGTTTGAAAATGATTGTTCATTCTATGGTTATTCATTGTATTTTATTTACTTGCTTACTTATTTACTTGCTTAATTACTTATTTACTTACTTACTTACATGCGTAAGTACATCGCGCGGCCATTAATCGAGTAAAATTGATAATTGTTTCGATAGATTTGTAATGGTATGACAAGTAACGAGAATTTTAATCGAAAATAAGTATTTATATGAAATCACAGGAAGATTATACATTCGAATTTGTAGCCTTTTAGATGTATAATGGAAAAAACTTTTGCATATGTCGTCGATCATGCGTGTTGATACAGATCGGATGATGTATCGAATGCTTTTCTATGACATCGTGTACAGGGCAGATAACTTTTCTGTACATACTATGAAAATACAGTGTAAACATGTCAAAAAACGAAATATCAAGTTCCTTTTTTCTTTTTCTTTTTCTTTTCCTTTCAGAGTAAAATTTACTTTTGTTTTATTAAGCTATGCGAAATGAATATGTATTTCTAAAATTTATACCTGTTTATAGCTGTTCTTTTTAATATTTTGCTTTCTCTTGTACCGACACAGACTCTATTCGCGCGATTTCGAACTGATGTTCCACGTAAATAGAGGATCAGGTGTACTTGTTAATGTTAATCGATAGAGATTACCTTTATCGATATCACACTAAATAAAGGACTCAATTTACGCAGAGTCAATTCACTTGCAAGTTCGGCCATTTACTGCAGATGGCACTTATAAATTTCCTCTTATGGTAAATGTGTTGCCATGATGGCTATTATGCCAATTATAATTATACCTTTCGTTGGTGTTTTTTCATTTTAATGAAGCGAATCACTGTGTTGTAAACAACAAACGTTCAATGTATAAAATTGTCAATCTTACGATTATAAAAATGTTCTTCGCAAGATCATCGATAATAGGGAATTCTTCCAATGCGTGGGTGAGCAAGTGTTCTTCCTTATCATGGCGTTTAATTTATAAAATTGACAATCGATTCAAACGTGGCAGATGAAAAACTTATGGAAAATAATGCTTAACATTTTTATGGAATAATATTTTGGTTTCGACTAGATGTAGAAATAAATTTTCCATAGATCGCATAGTTCGCGAGACGAGCCTCGCGACGGCACGGGGGCAAAAGGGGTTTCTCGCTAGGGACTTTGTAATATGGTTTTCTTGGACTCTAGTTATTTATCTAGTTAAGCGCTTCATTAAAATATCTAGAAGAAAACAGACACGTTGATCATTCCTGACTATTCTATTCTATGCTATTCATTCATTCTATGGCCATTCCTGCTCAGCCATAGTACTGTACATAGTAAGTACATGTGCGCGTGTAACGGTTGAAATTGTTTAATCTGTTTGAATTGTAGCTTTTTGTTTAAACTTGTTAATTACTTTACGTATCAAATCCAAAGCGGTGAAATTTTTAAAAGCTATTATTCGTATAGTGATTTGGTAATTTTGTAAAAGATTTTTAGGTATGTGCAAATATGTATGTATTATGATTCATAAATGTTACGAGGTTATATAGAAGTAAGGAATAACTATTTCTCGGTTTCTTTTGCTTCGAATGTACCAGTAAGACCATTTACGTTCCGAAATATTTTAATTGATCAAACTATTGTCCATAACGTATGCCGTACATGAAAAATATATGATTGGTCATAGAAGAATAATATATTAACGCACTTGTTTTAGGTAGGCACGTTTACAGAAAATGCCAAAGTCGAAAGAATACGTGTCGACTGATGACGACAGCAGTGAAGAGGTACTCTAATTACATAATAGATAAAATTTAATTCTTTAAATATTTCCCTGCTCAGAAGTTATATGTTTTTCACTGTATGTAATGTACTTCTTTCATAAGGAAGTAACGTCAAAGAAGAAGCAAAAGAAAAGGGAGGCAGAGGACAAAGAGGAAAAAGTATCAAAAAAGCCAAAAAAGGAAACGCAAGAAGACGAAGGCACAACTTGGGATCTTGGAAATAATCGTCAGATTAGCGTACGAGACTTTAAAGGCAAATTGTACGTTGATATCCGAGAAATGTACTACGACAAAGATGCAAACTTAAAGCCTGGAAAGAAAGGTATTCGAACATTGTAGCTTCCTCGTATAAGTTGTTAAGAAAGAGCAAATTTTATTTTTTTTTCCAGGTATCTGTTTGAATATGGCACAGTGGCGGAAATTACTATCTGTAATGGAAGATGTTGATAAAGCAGTGAAATCTAAATGCTGAGTATTATCGTCTCGATGCTCGACAAGAACGAATACTTGGAACCGACGATCTGACATGAATTCATAAACAAAGTGTAACATGTTCATACAGCTGTCTGTTTCTCTTTGCATAGCTGAACTGTGAAATAAGTTTGTATCCGTTAAAATTGAATATTTGTAATAAAAATCACTGTATCCTGTATTTTCTGCATTCCATAGTTTCTTTTATTCCCCGAACATGTAAAAACACGAGTATCGGTGCAACGCGTCATTGTATGTAAGAAGATTGTAATGTTTACATTAATAACATTACATTACATTAGCAAAAAGACTCGTCGAAAGTCCAACTTTCGATAGTACACGTG